CACTCAAGAGAGAGGATGGAGCCTGAGAGACATGCAATGCTGATCATGGTCAAGAGCTTCTCATCTAGAGGACTAGAAGTCTGGGAACTTCTTATACCACCATCAGCGAGGTACTGGGAGGGAAGAGGCACCAGGAGGAAGCGGAAATTCCAGACTTGGTTCCTATCTTCCCACCTTGAGGGCAAGGTGGATTCTCAAAGGGGGGAGTATTGATAGGAACCTACCTATTAGATTAATAATAGAAAGAATCATAATAATAGTTGTAATAAGGGCTTAGGCAGTATTATAGTATAAATAGATGTAGAGGGAAGGTAGTAAGGAGGCTTTTGGGGACTTTTGGACTGGGACTGGGAAAGATTAGAGAGTTATTCTCTTCTCTTTTGAGAGGCTTCGGCCTTTGTTACTGCTTCTCTGTGTAACCGATCTTCTTCATCAAATAAGAATTCAGTTTGTTTTTCTTGTTAATCTACTGTAATTGTTCTGGACTGGTGAGGTCCCTAACAAAGTATTACATACAATTGAAAGTTTTACGGGATGAAATGCAGATTTTAAGACCTTTACCTGCATGTAGTCCTAGATGCAAATGTGATGTGTTGGCTAAGGTAGTACAACATCATAAGAATGATCATGTTATGATATTCCTAAAAGGATTGAACGAGTATAATGCCACTAAATCATATATACTCCCTCCGTCCCTTAAAACTTTGACAACTTTCCTTTTTTGGATGTCCCACTAACTTTGCCACTTTCCCTTTTAAGTAAAGAATTTGTGATTCTAGTTAATTCTCTCTCCTCTGCACAAACCTCAACCACATAGATTTTACTTTATTAATCCCCGTGCCGGTTAAACTTGGCAAAGTTTTAAGGGATGGAGGGAGTATTACTTATTGAACCACCGCGGTACCGCCTAGCATTACCAAAGTGTATGGAATGAGTGCTACAAGAGAGGAAAATAATTCCTAAAAATGATCTCAATAGCATGCATGTCAACTCTGTTGCCGTACAGCCAGCGGGAATATGTGACTCACAACATGAGCATTCAATGGCTAATTTGGCTAGTTTTGGTGGAAATACTGGCAGAAATCCTGGAATTTTTAACTCAAATGTTAACAGGAAACCAAAGTGAACACATTGTGGGCGAGTCGGGTACAGGATTGACAAATTTCAAAGGTTTTAAATCAAATGCAAATGCAGACAGTTATTTGGGATTTCACCAAATCAATTTAAGTAGTTGAGGTCCTCATGTCCTATTTGCGAAACCAATATCCTATTAATACTGGCTCGCATCCCCACAGGCATTGAAACTTCACCAACAACAACAACAACATCCAAGTCTTAATCCCAAAAGAATTTGGGGTCGGCTAACATGAATCGATCTATGATATCGATGCCAAACAAAGAGAAAGAGATGGGCAAGGAGGGGGGAAAGTAAGATAAAACAGATAAAATAAAGATAAATAAATATAAGATAACAATAACATAAGAATATAAGAAAGATAAAAGATAGAAAAATAAAAGAGCATAAAAAGCTAGAAGAAAAAAATAACATAAAAATATAAAAAGATAAAAAAGATAAACATAAAAGAAAAGAGAGGAAATGTAGAAAAGACATCAATTGTTCACATGAATGTGCGCCCTCCACTTTGCTCTCTCCAAATCATACTCTCATCCAACCCAAGAAGACGTATATCAATTCTGATTCCTCTAATCCAAGTCTGTTTGGATCTTCCCCTCCCTCTCTTCTCTGTTTCTTCTCCCCACCCCCCAAGTCGTCTAACAGGTGCATCACTCGATCTTCTACGCACATGCCCAAACCACCGCAAACGAGACTCCTGCATCTTATCTTCTATAGGTGTTACTCTCACCTTTTGTCTGATTATTTCATTCTTCAAACGGTCTTTTCTGGTATGTCCACACATCCAACGCAACATAAGCATCTCTGCCACACTCATCTTTTGAATGTGGCAATGCTTCACCGCCCAACACTCTACGCCATACATTAATGCAGGCCTAATTGTTGTTCAATAAATTTACCTTTCAATCTAGTCGGCATGCCTCGATCACATAGAAATCCTGATGCACTCGTCCATTTCATCCACTCAACTCTGATTCTATTACATACATCTCCATCTAATTCTTCATCCTTCTGAATTATGGAGCCCAAATAACGGAACATTTCACACACTGATATCTCCTTACCATCAAGAGTAATCCCATTGTTGCTATTACTTCTACCTCCACTAAACTTGCACTCCATATACTCAGTCTTGCTTCGCCTCAGTCTCAAACCCTTGATCTCCAATGTTTGTCGTCATACTTCCAACTTCGCTTTAACACCGGATTGCGTCTCATCAATCAATACAATATCGTCGGCAAACATCATGCACCAAGGTATATCTTCTTGAATTGACTTCGTATACCCGCACGGGTAGCTCAGTTAGTCGAGCGGTGGAAAAAATTGGACGTAGACCAAGGTTCGAATCCCGCGGCGGCCAAAAGGGGGTTTTCAGAACCTGAAATAAGGTTGGCCCTCTGGTGCGCACGGGTAAAGGCCTACTGTCGCTTTGCTGACTGAGTCACCATGATTAACCTCATCACCATCCTGTCAAGTCGGGGTAGGGGGGCTTGGGGTTGGGCATTCAACCTGTTGGACGTTGAATTGACTTCATAAGTTCATCCATGACTATAGCAAATAAGAAAGGACACAACGCAGATCTTTGGTGCACTCCGATAGTATTAAGGAACTCTATGGTCCCCCTTGCACTAGTGCGGACATTTATAGTACAAGCATCATACATATCCATGATGATACTAATATACTTGCGTGATATGCCTTTTCTAGTTAAGGTCCACCAAAGGACTTCTCGAGGTACCCTGTCATATGCCTTTTCTAAGTCCATGAACACCGAATGCAGATCCTTTTTCGTGTCCCTATACTTCTCCACAACTTGTCTAAGAAGGTGAATGGTCTCAGTTGTTGATCGTCCAGGCATAAAACCTAATTGATTCTCCAAAATTTTCACACTTTTACAAAGTCTTTGCTTAACTACTCGCTCCCAAAGTTTCATGGTGTGACTCAAAAGCTTAATACCTCGACAGTTGGCACATTCTTGTACATTACCCGTATTTTTAAATAGGGGAATGAGGGTACTCTTCCGCCAACTCACTGGCATTTTGTTGTTTCTCCAAATCATGTTGATGAAACGTGTTAGCCACTTGATGCCTTTCTCCCAAACATCTCCAAACCTCGATCGGTATGCCATTTGGGCCCACTGCTTTCTTCCGCCCCATTTTTCTCATAGCCTCTTTAACTTCTGTCTAGTGGCTAAGGGTTACACCCAACAATTTGGTGTTGATTGCTTAATCACTATCTCTCTTGTGACAAAAAAAACTACTCTACGCACCTTGTTGACAATTTTAGTAATTAGGGGATGGCATTTGTATCAATAAAGATATTAATAATGTCTTTCTACATGGCAATCTCTATGAAGATGTGTATATGGATCCTCCGGGTTTTCAAACTCTCTAACCCTTCACAAGTATGCAAATTAAAACAACATTTAAATGGCTTAAAGCAAACTAGTAGACAATGGCATACAAAGTTGTCTACTGCATTTGTGTCTCACGGTTTTCGTCAAGGAACTTCAGATCCTTCTCATTTTATGTGGATGACTTAATTCTGGCAAGTGACGATATTACACTCAATGGTGACTTGGAGGCATTCTTAAACAGTGCTTTTAAGATCAAAGGCCTTAGTTGTCTCAAAATCCTCCTTAAGGATAAAACTTGCTCGATCTACCCAAGAGCTGCATTTATGACAAAGAAAGTGTATATTGGATACTCCCTCCGTCCCTTATAACTTTGCTAACTTTCCTTTTTTCGATGTCTCACTAACTTTGCCACTTTCTCTTTTAAGTAAAGAATGTGTGGTTCCAGTTCATTCTCTCTCTTCTGCACAAACTTCAACCACACAGTTTTTACTTTATTATTTCCCGTGCCGGTCAAACTTGGCAAAGTTATTAGGGACGGAGGGAGTATAATAGAAGAGACTGGCTTTGTTGGGTGCAATCCTGCACCTGCACCTATGGTTCCTGATTAGAAGCTTTCTCACAACGATAGCCTTGTGTAACTGTGTTACCTAATAATGGCTACTACAGAGGATTGGTAGGGTGCCTTTTATATCTCACTGCAACAAGGCCTCATATAGCATTCGCTGTGCAGCAATTAAGCCAGTTTCTTGATGCTCCCACGCAATAACACCTAGCTGCTCCCCGCAGGGTACTAAGGTTTCTCAAATCTTCACCTGGAAAAGGGTTGTTTTTATCCTCCCGGTCTTTGCCAATTTTTTAATGAATTATCCCCACAGATATTCATTAAGGTAGATGGACACCTTAAATTAAGATGCCTAACCAATGATGAGGAATGGTTTGTGTTCATACTTGTGTTTGTGTTTGATGCTTTTTGGACTTATAATTATCCATTTCTTTAGTTGTTTATTGCTAGTTTAACTATTACTCTCTCTGTCCCGCTAATATTGTCTCATGCCAAATTTGATAAAATTTAAGTGGTTGTGAATCATTTTTACTTTATTCTTACTTTATCATTTATCATTTCACTATCAACCACATAAACACACTTTCCTTAATGTTAGTGGAACGGGGTAGTATATGTTTTATCTGTTGGTATACTTTGAGGCTTACACCTCAATACGCCTTGAGGTGTGCGTTCAGCCTCTCTGGAACAAACCTCCTCAATAATCGAACCAGCCTTTTCAAACCTTGATTGGATGCGAACAAAAAACTTGAACTGGCTAGACCACCCAACAGAAACAAATCAATACGAACTCATATATTCCCTAAGATAATTATAACCAGATCCATAACAGCAGAAACATATATATCAGATAACTAAAATGACAAAAATAAATAAAGATTTATTCCGGTTACAGATCAGACTCTTAAACCCATTTACGTGAGCAAAGTTTAGGTTTACAAGCGTACTTGTACTCGTTGGTGAGTTGCCACATGTAAGGATTGAACCAGGTTATGGCTGAGAAGCCAGCAGCGCCGATCCACTTGCTCCAAAACGTGCTCGGGTCGGAGTGTGGGACTCCCGGGTCGCCCCTGTAAGCGTTTCCGAAATACTTCTCCATTTCAGCTCGGAATGTGTGCACCGGTCTTCCTGCCTCCACGCACTTCTCAATCCGGTTCTAAGATAAAGAAAATTAGCAATGAAGGGCGTTTTAACTTTCCAAGGTACAAATTGTTCTACTTTTTAAAATAAATATATACTCATGTAGTTTATTGTGAAGATGTCCGCCGCCTATCATGTAGTTTATTTTTTAAAATAAATTGCCCCGGAAGAAGAGGGCCGGCAAGGAGCTGGCCGTTGGGACATACAAACTCGAGGTCGAGTACCTTGTGAAGGGTGGCGTCTTTGAAGACGCCGTTGACGGTCATGATGTTCTGGCCCAAACTGTCCCGGTTGAGGATCGGGCTTACCTGAAGAAGCTAGGCCCCGTCAGGATCTATGACGACGGGATGGACCTCATCGTCCAAGTAAGTCCCTTGTACTTTACATCTTGTGGTGTCATGAGTTTCCGCATCGTCCTAACCTTTTTTCTTTTGTTGCAGGGTGCCCTTATGCTGATGGAGAGCCATAAGCGGCAAGAACAAGAGATTGTCTGGTTGAAGGAGGCCGAGAAAAAGGCTGCTTTGGCCGAAGAGGCCATGGCCTGCCTGGATCGGCTCTGGGAAGAGGTGAAAGCGCTGCAGAAGGGTGTTGATGAGGCCGATGTGGCCTATCGACAGGTGGCGGCCGACAGGGATGACGCTCTGAGAGCCAAGGATGAAGCCCTGAGAAACCGTGATGAAGCCCTGCTCCGGGCCGAGGACGCCGCGAAGGCTCAGGCTGAATCTGAGAGGGCCGCTGAGAAAGCTGTGGACGGTGCCATCGAGAAATTCGTAGCCGAAGGCTGGAAGGCTAAAGACCGTCGGCCCTGGTGCTACGAGGTAGTGGCGGATCGTCTTGAAGATTGGGGCCAGAACTGCCCTGCTGACCAAGAATATTTTACCCGGGAGATGTCTGTTTATTACGACATGGGTCAGCAGAGGATGCAACGGTTGATCTACCGGAGGCTGCACCGGGCTTTCAAAAAGTTGAAACTCACCCAGAAATGGGCCAAGAAGAACTTGAAGCTCCCGAGGCTGATGAAAGACCCGGAGGCCAAAGCGAAGCTCCCCCCCTCTAAGAGGCAAGATCCGGTACTCAGTTCCTCCATCGGTAAGCCTGATTGGTCCGATGATGACGCCTTAGCCGACACCGCTGTCTCCTCAGCAGCCGAGGCGAGTGGAGGTGCAAGGCCGGAAGAGGGCAACGAAGTTGCTTCTGGGCAAGCTGAAGCGGGGCTGGTTGCTGATGAAGCCGCCCCAGAGAGCTGATCGGCTGACTTCTTGTTATGTAATTTAGCTAGGCAGGTGTTGTAACGCCTTTGTTCTGTAATGGCAGTTGTGCCCCCTTATGTAATGAATTTTGAATGAATGAAAATAGCCATTGCTTCCGGCCTTATTGTATGATGTCCTCGTCTTGCTTTTTCCTTTTGCTTTTGTTTTCAAGTGTTACAAAATTTTTCCAAGTGTGAAGTTGGGACTTGGATAATTGTTGTCTTTGGTTGTTCTCTGGCTGCGGCCGAAGCGGGTAGCTTAGGTGAGCATGTTTCGTCTATGAGGAACACCCCTTGCTCTTAGCAAGACTTTAGAATTTTTTCTAAGTGCTAAGACTTCAAGTGATTGAGTGTCCGCTTCGTCTTGGCGTTACCCCCCCCCCCCCCCCTTCACACTAGAAAATTTTCTAAGTGTCAAACTAAGTAGTTTCCCTAGTTCGGGGCCTTCGTCGGCCAGTACGGCCAGTGTGGATAGCTTGTAGTTCCGGCCATCGTGTATTCTTCGTCTTGTGTCATTCCTCATTTCTTTTGTTTCACTTGTAATTTTTCCAAGTGCTTAAACAAGAACTCATAAGCCTGATTCCTGTAGTTGTAGCCGATGAGGGGACCTGTCCTTTGCTCGGCTGAGGGGGAATGTCTGCTTCATATTTGTGATGCTTGACGTCACACTTTGGTGGACTTCTCTAAGTGTCCCGCTTAGAAAATTTTGGAAATCGTTCTGCGTTTGGATAGACCGGACCCTTGTCCTCGTCGGCCGCTCTGGATGCTACTCAGGAATTTCTATAAATACTTAGAAATTTTTCTAAGTGTTTGAACATACTTGGGTGATTGCTTCCTTTATGAGTGGTTGATGACGGCTTACCGCTGGGGTTGCCCGACGCCGGCTATATGTATGCCCTTATCGGCCACGAGAGTTTGCCTTGGTATTTTTTGTCCAAGTTTTTCCCTTCTTTTTTTTTGAGCGCTTTCGTCTGTAATGCGTAATATTTGCGTGATATGTACTTAGACAATTTTGGGAATTTTATTTTTATCACTCGAGGCCGGCGAGTGCACGGCTCATCGGCCTCCCTCTTTTATTTTTGGGGACATCGCTTTAGGCCGGCAAGTGCGCGGTCTTTCGGTTGTCCCTCTTTTATTTTTGGGGATATCACTTCAGGCCGGCAGGTGCGCGGTCCTTCAGCTGTCCCTCTTTTATTTTTGGGGATATCGCTTCAGGCCGGCAAGTGCGCGGTCCTTCAGCTGTCCCTCTTTTGTTTTCTTCCTCTTTACTCACTTGAGCGAGGAGTGGGTGTCCTTCTTTCAGGCTTCGGCCAAGGGGGTCGATAGTCCCTCGGCCGGTAAGGAGTTCTACTGGATCGTCCTGGAATCTCAAGGAGGTCCCGTCGCCTATTTATGACGCGGGCTAAGGCTTTTGGTCGGTTACCGACGGCTGCCGTTTCTCATCCTTGAGTTTGGGGATTTTTGTCACCTCGGCCATGATTTCAGACCTGCCGTCCTGCTGATTTCGCGGTTAGACGACGCGGTGAGCTTCCCATTTCAAGACGTGGGCTCTTTGCGGGCCCTTCGTCCTGGGGACACCGTCGGCCTTTCCTAAGCATTTTCGCTTTGAGGGGCCGGAACGATGTGCTATGTTGACCTTTCCTGAGCATCTTCGCTCTGAGGGGTCAGTGTAGTATAATACGTTTCTGATCTTTTTAGAGAAGTAAGAAACATCTTTTATTGATAAGTGGCTCGAGGCCGAGGGTGGCGTTCGACCAACAATCCATGGGAAGGTGAGGGCTTTACCGGCTGCACCGTCCCCGGATTATTGATAGAATTTCACCAAGTTATGTACATTCCACGTTCGTGGTACATTAGACCCATTTGGGTGTTTTAGTTTGTAGGTGTCGGGCTTTACTACGGCACTGATGATGTAGGGGCCCTCGTACTTGAGTGCCAATTTGCCACCTTCTGTCGGCTTGCTCGCCTCTCTTCGGCGAAGGAAGTAGTCCCCCACCTGAAATTCTCGGGAATGTACCTTGGCGTCATAGTATGATTTTACTTGGCGCCGGTAGTTCTCTGCCCGGATGAAGGCCTGCTCTCGTCTTTCTTCGATTAGGTGGAGGTCGATCTTCATGTTTTCTTCATTGGCCTCAGGCTCGTAGTTCTCCACCCGTCGGGTAGGTATGGTGACCTCTGTGGGGGCCTTTGCTTCAAAGCCATAGCAAAGGGCAAAGGGTGTCTCGCCCGTTGCCCTCCTCGGCGTAGTACGGTAGCACCATAGGATATTGGGGAGCTCATCGGCCCAACTGCCCCCTGCGTCTTGGAGCTTCTTCTTCAGGCCCTCTAGGATGGTTCTGTTGGCGTTCTCGACCTGCCCGTTGCCTTGAGGATAGGCAACGGAGGAGAAACGATGCTTGATTCCCCACTCCTGAAGGAGCTCTTGAAAAGGGCACGGCCTCGAACTAGGTACCATTATCGGATATGATCTCGTGAGGGACGCCGAAGCGGATGAGGATGTTTTTGTGGATGAATTTCTGACACCTGGCCCCTGTGATGCTGGCCAAATGTTCCGCCTCAACCCATTTGGTGAAGTAGTCTACGGCGACGATGATGTATCGGTTGTTGCCAGCGGCTCTGGGCAGGGGGCGACCAGGTCAATACCCCCACCTTGAGAATGGGATCGCTGTGTTGACCGGGGCGTAGTTGACGGCTGGCCGACCAGGGGCTTTCTGAAGGACCTGGCATGCGGTACACTTTCTTGCAAGATTGGCACAATCCCGCGCCATCGTCGGCCAGAAATAGCCCTAGACGACGAGACGTCGGGACATGCTGAAGGGGCCCTGGTGAGAGGAGCAGACGCCACAGTGGACTTCCTCCATGGCCACTTCGGCCTCATCTGGGTGCAAACATCGGAGGAGAGTGTCGTTGTAAGATCTTTTATAAAGTTTCCCGTCCTCGATGGTGTAGCTCGGGGCCCTGAGTTTGGCTAGCTTGGCTCTCTCCTCGTCCTGGGGCAATTCTCCCAAGGTGATGAAAGTCATGATGTCGGTAATCCAGTCCTCCGGCCGCTGTTGGATGCACGTGACGGGGCTGTCATGGATGTTGGACATACTCAGCTCTTCGACCTTGGCTATCTTGGAGATGTGCTCTGGAGTGTCTGAGCTGAGCTTGGAGAGGATGTCGGCCTCAACCTTCTCCGCCCTTGGGATCTGGGTGATCTCATGGGTTTCGATTGCCTTGAGCAACTCCTCGGTCGCCTGTTTGTATTGCCTCATCCTCCCTTCTTTGGCCTCGTATGAGCCCTCGATCTGGCCCACCACTAGTTTGGAGTCGCATCTGATTTTGATGTGCCGTGCTTTGAGGCCGGCGGCGAGTCTGAGGCCGCTGAGGAGGGCCTCATACTCGGCTTCATTGTTGGATACCCTGAAGTTGAAGCGGATGGCATAGTAGGCTCTGAACCCTTCAGGGGAAATGAGGACGATGCCGCCACCACAAGCTTTGGTGGCCGATGAACCGTCGGTAAAGAGAGTCCATGCTTCGTCTGGTTATGGCCCTGATGTGGTAGCGGTCGTCTCCCTGGCTGTGCATTCGGTGACGAAATCGGCCAAGGCCTGCCCCTTGATGGATGGCCTCGGCTTAATCTCTATCTGGAACTGGCTGAGGAAGATCGCCCATTTCACCATCCGTGAGGAACTGGTGGGGCTCCGCATGAGGGCGTCGAGGGGTTGCTGAGTTAAGACGTGGACGGCGTGGGCCTGGAAGTAGTGTCCTAGTTTCTTCACTGT